CCACAGAAAAATTCATATTACTAGAACACATTGGTATTGAAGGAACTAGATGCTGTTCCAAAATATCACTTACTCGAACCGTCCTGACCGCGTAGCTCAGTTGGAAGAGCATTGGGCTAGTATTCCAAAGGTCGTAGGTTCGAATCCCACCGTGGCTGGGCATGTTTTTCAAGCTCGCCCGGTGTGGATATGCACTCAGAGTAACATCGCAAACATAATAAAGTTGATATTTTGAATAATTATGTTAATTGTTACTTATGCTTTCTTCCTGCCTTGCTTTTTGTATATAAGATCGACAAGATAGTTAAAGAAGTTGAGGACTTACAAGACATAGAAAAAGAGCTAGTTCAGCCTCAGACATCAGGTAGTTCCAGAAACTCGGTGTAGTATTCAGTGTAGTGTTCAGTGTAGTGTTCATCAGGGTCTAAGATTTGCAGTATCCTAAACTGCACGAGATACTAAAATATGGCTTTGGGTGCCAAACTGGGGATTACCTGTATCTGGATACTTCAAAATTTCAGATATTAGGACTGTTATGTCCCTTATAGCCACCAGTCAGCTTGTGAATGCAACAAGTTTTCTGGTTTGACAAAATATATTGTAGTTTATTAAAAGATCATTTGCATTTTAATGTATTATTGATGCCATTTACTGACTTCAAAATGCATTTCAGCCAATAACTTTAGAAAATACATGTCAAACTGCACTCTGAATATAAAAGCAACTTGTGTGCTTGTGTGATTACAGTTATTATTTAGATGGGTCAGTAAATACCGCTTATGGTAACCTGTATCCAGTGGGATTCTGGAATCTCGGGGATTCCAAAACTGTGAACCCTGGTATCCTAGTTGCATACTGAGAAAAAATTTCAATTTCAGACCTGGATGATAGTGCAGGGAAAAGAAAGTGGAGGACTCCTACATTTCTAGTCAATGGAAAGAATGGATTAAGTCCTTCGTTAGCCAGGCAGAGAAGAAAACGAACATTTGAAGCAGCCAGGACTATTCATGGTGGAAAGGACAAATTATCGGTTCCAACATCGATAGGTTTGCTAGACACAGCAATGGTAAAGACTTCTAAAGATATTTTAGTTGATGTCATGTCTTCTAGCAAAAAGTTCAAGCGCTCAGTCATGCCCAGAGTGTATAAGAAATTGTTAAATTCTTATGAGTCGTCGGAAGAGAATTTAATTAGGAGCATAGCTGTGTATTATAGTGGCGGTATTGTGGGGAAAAAGAAGTACCGTAAAATATATAAAGATAGTTGCTATCGATTAAAGGGCAAGGGAGGAAAATCTGTTCGGTTAAACATAATCAATAATTGCCCTTTACCTAGGCTTGTACCCTATAATCGCTTAATGCCCTACATCAAGTCAATTCCTTTGGGAACTATTTATAGCACTTATGACACATTGTGTGATGGGTTGGATGATGATGATAAGGTTCGTGGGTGCTATCGTAGGCTGAACGAGATGTTAGTGAAGTTAGCTGAGTTTTATCTCTCCGGATGTAGTGGGCATTCGATAACATGGTTTACAGAACCATACACATTTTTTGTTTCCTTGGGAGGTGATGGTGCCCCCTTTGGAAAGTATGACACAGCCTGTGCATGGCTTGTGGGCTTTCTGAATATTGGTAGGGGGATATTGAGTAGTAATGAAAACTACTTGCTCTTTGGAGCAAACTGCAGTGAGAATTGCATTGTTGTCCAAAGGTTTATTAAAATTCTTTTGGCTGACATTTGCCAGATTGAAAAAAATGATAATATCACCTGTTGTCATAATGGCAAGCAAGTCAGTGTTAAATTTCGCATTGGTGAACTCCCCAATGACATGAAAATGTTATCATTTTTAGGGGGAGAACTCAGCAATAGTGCAAAATTTTTCTCATCCTTTGCAAATGTGTCCAATGACAATGCTAATGATGTTTGTGGGACATTTGGAAGGGAAGGGAAGAACAAATGGAAGCCTTGGAAGTACTCAGAGAGATTGAAAGTTGTTAAAAGTGTTGAGCAGTTGAAGCAGAAGCTTTCAAAACAAATTCTTTCTGATGCCACTAAGAGATCCAAAGTTACAAGCTTTATTGCTGGAAAGAGTAGCAGGCAAGAATTTGAACCTCTTTTAGGGAAAATTGTTGACAGAGCTCATGTTGAGCCTTTGCACCTGAAAAATAATGCTTGTGCCCTTGCGCATCGGTATCTACTGGGCGAAGTTATGATGCTTTCCCATTTGCCAGATTCTGTTAAAGTATTTTCCCAAATTCCTGACAAATCTCCCATAGCTAGATTTGTTATGGTAATGAAAACCAAATGCCACCTATCTCGTCTTGCGAACCGAATTGTAAAGTGGTTCAATGATACAAGAGGTGATGGAAAGCCATTTGATTACCGCTTTACTGGAAAGGATTCCAGGGGACTTTTGCATAATTTCATGTACTTGATTGATGTTGTAGAGCCACTTGCAAAGAAAGGCTCCCGACAAGAATTGGTTTTTCATGCCCTGTCACATCTTTGCCTGACTTTACGTAAGTGTGTTTCCCTTTTTAGTCGCATTCATATCACCAGCAATGAAATTGTTGAGCTCAAGCATCACTGTAAGACTTACATAGCACTTAACAATCTTTTCTTTCGCCATCACCCAACTGCTTGGACTTTGGGTCATGTTGTGCCTGTCCATACACAGGAAATGAAAACAAAGTATGGAATGGGGCTTGGCTTGAACTCCATGGAAGGAAGAGAAGCCAAGCACATTTCTATTTCCCGATATTGTGGGAACACTAATTACCACAGCAGGTGGGAACAGGTCTTTTTACATGAGTATGTGTCCTTAATCTGGCTCCGTGAAAGGGGCTATAACACCACAAAACCTATCACCTCAAGTGTTCTGGTTTATGAGCCTAAACGTATTAAGGAACCTGGCTTTTGTAATTGTGGGCTGGAGAAAGAAGAACAGTCTTCTGGATGCAAGTACTGCATTCATCCATTAAGGGCTGATATTGTTAAAAGGGTTGAAAAAGCATGTAAGTGAGTGTTGATGGAGATTGGTATGTCTTGTCTATGCAATGTTTGGGCAATTGGGCAAAGGGATACAAACCTGTTTCACTTTTCAACAATATTCTAAAAATATCTAGCCATATTTTCTGGGGGGATGGGATCAGGTGGGGGGGGGGTGGAATCCCCCCACCCCCACCCCACAGATTCTGAATTCCCATCCAAATCTAAAAAGAGCTAAATCTTGGGTGGGAGCATTTCCCCCCATTTACACCAAAGTCAACAGTTGAAAGGGACAGAATGATCTTTAGATGGGGAATTACCGAGGGGGAATTCCCCCCTAAATAAAACCCCCCCTGAAATTTAGGGGGAACCTCCCACCCAACATCCAAAAACTAATATATCCCTGAGCCGTGTACATGCGGAATGCCATTTTATGCAGTTCATATTGTTGCTGTGTTTTTGCAAGACAGCTGGTGTAGAAATTCTCGTGCAGAAATCATCCCAAAATTGAATTATTATTTAGGGAACTAATTTCATGGGAAGATTTTCCTCCCGATGCTCTGAATAACACTACCACTGCTGCCTCACCATTTGTTTACTCAATTTGGTGAGGAGCGACATGCAGTGCTGCAACCATCCAGCCACCACCCTTTACCTCTGCATGTTTAGAGTAAATGTTTATAGTTGATTACTGCATAGCACACCACACATGATAGCACACCACACATGAACTTACTAGTTTTTACAATTGTTAAGCAAATAATTTAATGTATGTTATCTATACATTTTATACAAACAGTAAAGTTTGGTCCATGTGGGGAACGGGTTCCCAGTGCATATTTTCGTCACCCACAAAGGGCAAAGCATTCAAAGTGCATAAAAGAAACTTTACTGTCTGGCATTTTATGAAAGTTTATGATGTTTAATAAAAGTTATGTACTTATCAAAGTTAGCTCTAGGTAAGGGTAATATGTAACATAATCATAGGTCTCCCTAAAAGGTCTTTTATTTTGAAAAAAAATCATAAAATTGCTTTGACCCATTTTGTCGCATTGCACCATGGCGCACCCTACTTTAATATTTTACTTCGTCTAACGTCAGGCGATTTTACTCGACAAGGGGAGAGCGCTCGCGCTTAATGGGTTAATGCAATGTTTATATTCTCTGTTGCTGATTAATAACACTAAAACCTCTATAATTCGTATTAAATGAAGTACGTGCTACATAGTGCATGCATTGCATTATAAACTGTATATTAATTCCCCAAGGTTGGCAAGAAAATACTGATCCAACACTATACAAAAACTAAATGATGAAAAACTTGTAGATAGAGATCCTGCATTACATTTTTTTCTTTCACCACATTAAAATGAGTGAATAAAATTTTTGTGAAAATTCATCACATTTTTTACTCACTAAAATTAAATTTTTCCCAACTGTGTGGGATGACAACTGCTCACCTGACGACACAAAATAAGGCTCTCTGATTGGCCAAGATTTCAGTCAGCCTTTAGCTTTATTTTGTGATGTCGGGCGAGCAGCAGCTGTCATCCCGCATATATTTTTCTTGCCAACCTTGGGAAATAATATACATAATGATGCAACACAGCAAGCTACTTTTCCAAGAGACCTATGACATAATATGTAGCCAATGGTCCGGCAATGCTTCACCAGTGTCATTAATTGTCGTTGATCATTGATGAATAAAATCCTTTGTCTCTTGTAAATCTTTCACTGAAAATCATTCCCCATCAATGATCAAACGACCATGGCCTTTGAGAGCACCATCAACAATCGCAGACCGTCTGTGACATGTGAGAACAAAAAATACTTCTAGGGTAGTAAAATTGACATTTAACAGATTCTATTATGCCAAATATGCCTAGCCTGGAGCATAACATATTAACATAATTACATTTTTGCAAATGTTTTACTATAGGAGAGTTTATCTCAAAATGAGACATGTTTCAAACCATTGCAACTATTCAATAAAGTTTAGCAAATTGAAATGTGCAGTGTTTACTATCTGTTACAGTCATGTTGGGGAAATCCGTAGGCATTCCACTCACCAAAGTTAAATGAAATTATCAGCTGCCCCTTGCGAATATAATAAGTTAAAGCAAAATCTTTTGTGTCCGTTACCAAGACATTAACACGGTGACCTTTACGATAACCAGCCAAGGTCCTTTTCATATAACCAGTAACATCTTTTGAACTAAGCGAACTCAAAAAGTTTTTCACCGATACAATTGAGGTGAAAGAGACAACAATAGCTTTTTTATTTCGGGCGACATAACAGTTTGGAGGGTTAAATATCTGGCTTTTGTGACGTTCAATTGATTGCACTAGTACAAGAAAAAGTTCTTGTGGAATATCCCTTTTAATCTCGGAATAGTATGGCCGTCTAATGCTTCGTCTTGCAGCCATCCTTCTGTAAATTCCTTCGAGCCATATGAATGATTCCCTCCTGAAAACGGACCCTGCGTCTATTTTGCATCCGAACAATAAACGAGAAATGCCTGGTTGATTGAATTCACAATTTTCTGCTACAGCTTTATTAGTTTTCAACATTTCAGCACCATCGTCACATTTTTCGTCCTCAAAAACGGCATCAATCGCTGCTTCCACACTAAATTCGGCCGCCATTTTTTATGTGGTTTCCATAGTTTCAAGCTGTTACAATTAGATATACTTCATGTAACTCGTAAACATTATGTATCGCCGATAGGTGTATTCCGCTGATCACAAGTTTTGACAACATGTCATTTTCCGATTCATCTGTGCCCGGCGTGGAGTAAAAACGCAACGTTTAGCATTGGCTTTACGTATAAAATCCAAGAATTGTAGAGTATGATTACCTTGTCGGCTTCTTCCATGAGCCTTCCACCTCCGTAAGCAACCAATGTGTTCCCACGGACGTTGGTAACACGAATGCCAAATTTGCTGTCTTCATCATGCATGTATTTACATAGAAGATGTCCTATGACGGCTGGCGTGACTTTCATAGGTAAGGCAGCCCTTGGTGTTCTAGAATGAAAGAGAGCATTACAAACGAAAAGAAAAGACATAATTAATTTATTTTGTAGAGTGGGACAGAGAATGCGCATCTCTTTCAGAAACAGAGCACGGTTATTCCTGTTGATTTCCAATTATTTGTTCAGTCATTTTTCACGTTAATTAATTCCCTAATAGTAAATAAATAAAAGTATATGAGTAATACTCATGCACTACAAACTATACATTTGATTGGTTCCAAATGAAATTATTAGTAATTGGTGTTGTTGCCGTTTCCGTTGTCGTTATTGTTGTCGTTGTCATTGTCGTTGCATGCCGTTGCCGTTGTTGCTGTTTAGTTTCTTCTTGAATTTCTGTCTTTGTTGTTGGAGCTGTAACATCGTACCTCATATGTCCAGTGGCAAATGCATCAGTGAGAAAATGACAGGCATAGCCGTCAATTGAGTAAGCCTCAAATAGCAGCTTTTCACGGAGATTTTCTTCACTTCGACCTGATAAAAAAATTCGTTATTGGATTTTCTCTGTTTCCTATGTGCTTTGACCTACGAAATAATGAAGACTGTCTTCCACATTCGTAGTGCTTACATGATTTGGCTTAAGCTGGAAAATAATCAGTCAATATTTGATTGAGGTGGTATAATGTTCATCGTAAACTGCCATTCCCCGCACATTGCAGGTATAGACAGTTGCATGAAGTGGGAGAGGGAAGGAAGCACCATATGAACAAAACTTTCCGTTTCAAGCGAAGGCCCTTCGTTGGGAAGTGTTTAAGTGGAGTGGATCGGAAAAATTACATGTTTATTTCCGCCAGCCAATGGCAAGAATCCTGGACGAGAGTAATAATTGCGCTCTGCTATTTACACCCGGATAAAGGAAAGCGAAGTCTAAAATTCATCAATTATCACGTGCGCGAGGCTATTATCCAAGGTTTCGTGATTGGACATCCTCAGTGATTTCAAAATTAGATATTTAGAAAATCGTTTCATACAATTTTGAGTTTTGAAACAATTGTGTCCAATTGAAGAAATGAGAAACGGGAAACGGGATGAATCTGTTTCATAGTTGGTTAGTTTTCCAAATGTTGGTCCTCGAGTGACTAGTACTAGACTAATGATAATTTTTTGTTGTCTGTGGCAAATTGCAATGAAACACATGATGCTATTGTAGAATTGTGTCAATCTCTTGCGGAGAAATGTCATGCTATCCAGGGGAAAACATATCATTTGTGTATCATGGCAGTTAAATTTGGTTTTGAAGTTTGTGGCATTCATAAATGGCGAACTGTCCAACTCAGTCACATCCTTTTCTAGTTTTTAAAATGTGTCTGCAGGTGATCTTTCGTGTTTACAAGGTAAATTTGGCAAAACCTTGGACTGCAATTGGAAAACTTGGAGCTATAATCCCAGTTGACGTGGCATGCAAAGTATCTCAGTTTAAACAAAAGTATCAGATAAGCTAACAGCTATTACACAGAGAAAAAAAGGTAACACAATTGATTGCTAATTTTATATCAAAACTTTAAACCTCTCATTGGTTCACTTTGTGAAAAAGCAGTTCTTGAACCGCTGCATCTAAAAAATAATGCAGTGCAAATCTATACAATCAACTTCTGAAATTAACTCTTGCTATATAATAGCAATCTGCCCCCCAACATTTCGTCTCTAACAGATATATTTGATACATACATGCATGAGTGTAGTATTATAGGAGGTATTTGGTCAGTTCATTTTTTTAGGATTCTTCAGTGGTAGGGCAAAACTGCCAAAGGGCCCATTTTCCTTGCTCTCCCCCAGCTTAGTATGCGATCGCCGAAGGTGTGATCAGAGTACCGCAGGCACGAGTTAGCTAGGGGGGTTGAAGCTATTTTTTAAATATTTGAATCTCTTAAATAGCATTTGCTGCATTCTCAGAACACATTTTTAAAAAATCTCAGCTTCTCAAAACAAAGTTTTAATGGTGAAATTTGTAGTAAATTCCTTGCTAAACATTCAAACATAACAGAAGTTTAACTATGCTCGGTGTCTCGATGCAGTTTTCAAAAATTAAGGTGTTCAACATTTTGACATGTTCAAGCTACGAATTTTTAGGATTTATTCAGCAGATATCGGGGTTTTACATATTTAAATATCTCTACTTTCAAATTATATTAGTTTTAGTAACAGATAATTCGTTGCTCTGACGACATACGTGTACGAAATTCACGCCAAAATGGCCTATCGTTTGGTATGGTTGGAAAAGAAGCATGGTGACCCCATTTTTTTCGTGCATTATTTTACTTGGACGAAAATCTAACAATTAGCAAAATATAAAAAATTCGGTAATGCCAATTTTTTGGAAAATGCGAAAATGTCGTACTCTTCGGTAAAATGTTTTTGCATTACACAATTTTTTATTTTTTGTATAATGAAAGTTTTTAGCGGTGCAATACAGCATGCAAAATTTAAACATAGGTCACCAGAAAAAATAAAGTGATATAGCGCATTGTTTTTCTAAAATGAAAAATTCTAATGACGTCAGCAATTGACATAAAACGCTAAAGAACACGTGAGATGGCACGAGCAACTGCTCACGTCAGGTCATTTTGGAAGTTCTTTCATTTTCTTAATCAGTTTCCGCGACCAGCGCCGTAAAAATGGTCACCCGGTTTTCTTCGCGATTCTTGAGCAGGGTTTCTGTGATAACTGTATCGAGCCACCTTAAACTTCTTTTCAATGTTAAACTCTACATTTATTCAATACAGGTTCTAGGGCCCTGGCTTTGGGGCAATAGGCCATTTTCTTTCTTCAGTGGTGGGGCAGAGGTAGGGGCCCAGTCGGGCAAATGCCCCAGTACATGGTATTAAAAAATGCCTTGTATTTTGTGTCTCTGGGGGTTAATGTTAAGGCCACTAGTTAGTTGAGTGGTTATTTGAAGAAAGAGCAATTAGTTAAAAGTGGTTATTTGAAGAACGAACACATGATAAGACTTTTACCTATCGATTCACAGGTAACGATTCGGTTGGCTTATATTGTTTGGTTGTATGAATTTGGTGAGTGCCATCAAGGGCAACAGTACTGATGTTAAACAAATTACACAAAACTCATTATTATTGTGTTTATTGCTCTAAGGCTTTGTTAGTCCATTTCGCTTTTCTCGATGTATCATTTCTCTGCTGATAAAGTTGAGAAATTATTCCTGGCGACCTCATGAATACTGGTCTGCTTTGTCTCTATTTGGCTATATTCACCTTCCCCAAGTTAATGGAATATTGGCAAGGTTGTCGCTGCGCATTCCAAGTGGATGTTTGAGAAGTATAGCGTTACACTTGGTGTTTACACTATGAAGAGACGCGAAGGCAACCATGTGCACATTGTTGCCTATGCAATGCACAGTCATACTAGAAATAGGCAGCAGATGATTTTTAGGCATGATTATGTTAGAAATGTGTGCCTGCCACTTCAGAAACCGTCTTTTTTGGCGGATTGGGCGCAGATTCATCCAACTTCAACTGTCGTTTGATGAGAAAGAGCTCAACAGATGAGAAGTTCTTTTATTGCAATAATGAAATTATGTCTGAAATTGTTAAATCTGTTGCTGTTAGCAAAAATACAACAATTATAATAGGGAGTCTATTTTCTGTCTGCTTTCTTCATTTTAACTTAATTAAAATTAAAATGCAATGGCAGACTGACACAATTCAAGCAGCCGTATTTCTTGATTATTTACTCTGAACGAAACCTCGGCCACTCCGAGACTTAACCTACCCATTTAAAAGGGGGGTTTAAAGTTTCCGACGCCATCTTGAATCTATTGTTTTCACCATTGTGTTTGCACCCTCTGAAATTTACCTATAGAGAATTCCATTGTGTTTGCACCCCTTGCACTATTGTGTTTTGCTATGGCATCGGAAACCTTGAATCCCCCTATTGTTAATGTTAATACTTGAGTATTTTCGCAGAGTATATATATTCCTTGCCATAGTCAGGTAAAATGCCCGGCACATTTCGTTACAAGTGTTGTGGGAAGCCTTATATATGGTCATTCTAAAAGCCATGGGAAAATCGTGAATTTCTTCTTTGTCGTAATTATATATTTATACACAATTCCCAACTGTTTCTCATCAGAGATAATGGCCTCAATCCTATTAATTGTTTTAAACTTTTTGTTAAAAAACCTTCTCTTGGCATGTCAGATTGCGTTAACCGCAAAAATAGATTGGCCACAGGAAGACGAGATGTAAAAGCCATCACACATGAAAGCCAGGACTCGTGAAAATATGCGACAAAATTTGACTCCTTAACGGCTTAACCATTTCTTTGAGAATTGAAAATATCTCCACAGGAAAACCAACATCAAGAACTATTTTCCAAGGCTTTCTAACACTACATCGTGTTGACATTCATCGCATGCCACTAATTTGCCATGCGAAAAAAATCCCCCACACCATAACTTAAACGATAGCGAAATTCTCCAAAATGGCTTTTGGCAATAGACTACCAGATTTCGTAGCTCCTTTAAAGCTTTGTTTAATTCTACCTCATCAAAATTACTCTCTCTGAGCTCAGATTCGCATTTGTGGTCAGCCATATTGTCTTTATATATTATGATGATACTAACATGAAGTAGCGCGTTTACAAACCGCGGGCAAGCACATAACGCAGGCTTTTTATGGGCGAAAGCTAGTTCAAATTTCCCGCCGTGATTGACAAATGAATGTAAGATAAACAAATTGAATTGAAATTAAAGGAGAAATAATTGCATGCAACAACCCCTCGCCCACATTTTCCCAAACATTGTTTCAACATTTATTTATGCCAACACGTACCGAAGGCAGGCTTGCGTCGCTCGCGTCATGTTAGCCATGGCAACACTAGCTTGGGCATTTGTCTGGCTCTATGCTTGAAAAGAGTGGACAATAAAAAGTGGACAGTGATTTGAATGCACGAAAATAACACCCAATCAAAACGGCGATTGTTAATTAGATTATCAAAGCTAATTTAAAACATGAGAATAACGGCCAATTTTCCCGCCAATATCTCGAAAATAAATATTCCAATTTTTATTAAACGGCCAGGAATTACATACTAAATAATTATTAAGAGAGGTTGAAGAGGACATATTATATACTTAAATTCCAGATGTGTTATAAAATCCACAGCTGAGATCAATTGACGTGAATTTTATTGTGAACAGTTTAATAATTTATAGAGTCAGTCTATGAACTAATTCGATCCACTTTTTATTGACTTCAGTAGCAGGCTCTATTTTAAGCATAGAACCTGACACGCAGCCTGTGGCAAGACGATCATTGTTAATTGTTATTAAATATTTTTTACAAACAGCAAAAATAAGTTAATGTTTTACACTTTTAACAACAGAACTACGGATTTCTCAGATATATAAAATAGGTATGTCATTTAGCATTTTATGCATAGGCTTTATTATAATGTAAAATTCATCATGAAACGCTCTGTAAAACGTTTTTAAATGTTCACTGAAATTAACTGCTTTTTGCCGATAAATTCTTCAACTTATTACTCGTACATTGATAAAAAAAAAAATGAATTTACATCATGTTTGAACGCCTTTTTTGGAGCTTTTATAAAAAAATAAAACAAGTTAATTCAAAGAAACATTCGCATATAATGAAATTTAAACGGAAGCTGTACGTTTTCAGTGCTTCCAGGCGGAAATGAACAGCAATGCAAAGTCATTCATATACAGTGAAAACAAACTTACCCTTGAAATTTGAAAAAGGTGACTTACAATTTATTGTGTGAAACGATTTCCAAGCCTTCCGTCATGCTTTTTTTAATCTTTGCTTCCTTCACTCTTAACAAACAGCTATATTTTTTAGATCAGCTGGTGAGATGACCACCAATGCATAGCCATGCGCCGCGATTATTGATGAACTTTAGACTTCGCTAATGCTTTCCTTTCCCCGGATGTACAGTAAATAACCGACTAAGCCGGAATTAGTACCCTCGCCACGAGCTCTGCCCTACGCGCTCGTCGGGTGGCTCTTGGCTAAATAACAGTATTATATTTGTCCAGTAACATCGGAAATAATAATATAAATCTGTCACTTCCAATATCTAAAAGATGATTTCTCCAAAAAGTTCAAATACAGGGGAGCTGAGTAATGAAATGTAATTTATGCCTATAGAAATGGTTTAAGTCAATAAGCCATCCAGTTCTCGCGACCTTGTAAATATCTACCTTGTAAATATCGTAATAATTATTCGGTTATTATTCAAGTTACGGTTTTGTATAATTGTCAATGATTGTAGTTGCCTTATACGTATAGTCCAGACGCAGCCCATTGAAAGCAGTTTTATGCTAATGGGGATATTATCGAAAAAGAAAGTTTTGAATAGAATTTAAAAACATTCCACTCCGCATTAATTCCGCACACTCATTGCTAAAACAGTGCATTAACACTTTACGTACCTGCTTCACGAGCTCTCTCAATTGCATATCCATGTCCAACAACGTAGGCTGTTTTGGCCTGAGGCGCAAAATGATCGTAATTATGTTCAGCAAGTTTCAACATAGTGCCTGGAATGATTGGTATCCCAGCTACCCATACGCCACCTGTGGCACCATCCCATTCTTTAATTATCGCTGTGGAAACATTTTCCTGGCTTTTCTGCGTTTTGCTCATCTTCAGCCAGCAATTTTAGCAGTTTGTCTAGTCGCTCCTTTGAAAATAATTGTGTTGTCATCAGATGAAATTTTAATTTCTTCGCAATCTTTTAAAATACCATAATTAATACTTTAAAATACAATAATTAATAGATAATCAATAGCTACTTTTGATAAATTATCGTCGACAGCGATAAAATAATTTGCAGCACAATATTTGGGACAATTAAAACGCTCAAAAAGCTCAATATACACCGTATTTCTTAAATAAGATTTGCCAGATTAAAAAATGATTGGGGGCTACAACCAGTTGTGTCAAGTAACGAAGTAAATGTACTACGTTACTGTACTTGAGTACTATTTTTGAGAAGTCAGCATGTAACAAAGTATTTTTTTCTGGAGTACTTCTACTTGGAACAAAGTCGTTTTAAGAAGAAACGTTTTACTTCGTTATTTTCAATTTGTGGCGAGTATTTCGTTACTTTCTAACTTTTGTTTAATTTTTACGCGATTTATTCCTGATTTATTTTAATTTGGGGATGCTGTAGGTAATAGGACCTCTATACATGCGTCTGGGATCTCTCGTTTGTGGCGACTTGTATAAGCATTATTTATTTAATGGATTTCTTATATGTCTTCAACGGGGTCTGGAAAGTAAACCATGCCGTGAAATATTGTATAATATTAAGTGTGTGCACGCATATAATGCGTGTGCTGTTTTGTGTATAGTTGTAAGTCAATCCTTTGGAGAAGTCCTCCTCCAATAACATGCGCAGAATACTTCAAATTATCAATTGATGCAATAATTTTCCAAATAAAGTTTAATAAACATTTTCAATAAAAGTCCACAAAATTTCTTATGATATATGTTATGATAATCACATATATTCTCGACAAATCTTCGTTTTCACACTTATTAATCTTAACTCTAGTTGTTCCGCTTCATTATCGAAATTAATGAAACAATGCAAAACAATGGTTTTAGCTATATACATTAGAAATATTTGTTCGTATTACAGAAATTGGAGAATTTGGCTAATGATGACGTCATAATGACGTCACCACCTGGTGACAGCGTACACTTTCCTTTTGGACAACTTTCCTTTTTGTTGTTGAACAACATTATGATAGCTGCTCGCTTGATATCTTCGCTGTCCCACGATAATCCTCGTTGAGAGACAATTGATATTAAGAGCCGTTAAATCGTTTCGTATAATAGCATTTCGAACGGCTGCGTACCCATAAATACTCGATATCGTAAAACAATTTTTTAACTATGAAAAACCTGCACATACAGGAATACAAGATTAAAAGTAGAAAGACTGCTTTGCATGAATTTCGCAATTTCCAAGGACTTATACCCCCAGACCAAATCAGTCCAAAAAATCTAGCTACCTATAGGAATTGTCAATACTTTCAAATCAACCAAACAAAATGAAGGAAATGGACTGATAATGACTCCCTTCAGTAAGAAGACGCAAATCAGCCCGACTTCCCCAAATATCAGTCCAGATCAGTCATTCTAAATGGTCTCTTGACCAATTTAATAAGCATAATAGACGACTCGATTCTGCGAGACTCTTGCGTTTTACCGCTGCTAGCTATTATAAACGCAAAGGTAATTAATTTTTCAAATTTCGAGAAAAAAATTAATTATTTCTTTGCAAAAACATACGTCAGGCGACTTATTGAACGGGCTCTAGAGCCTCCGCTGGCCAACAGGCGGTGACAGTGGTCTTGCATATATATACATACTTAGCATAATATTTAACTTGGTATGTTGAGTCCTTGGAAGTTATATAAAAATAAATAAGTTGTGCTTTTCGTGTTTTCTGCAGGAAATACACTTATGCTATAAAATATTTAACCACATCAGTGCACTGTTCTATATAGAAATACATCTCTTATATTTTAGGTTTTAAATGACATTTATACACTGTTGAATCATTTGCTGACTTCTCTGAACTTAGTATGGATAGATCCAGTTGTTTTTTTCAAATACCATACACCAAAAAGGAACTCCACTGCGCCAAAGTTGAGGGTTCAATGACGGAACTGCCCGTCCCATATCCAAATCAGTGCGAAATAAAAATGTTATGTACGACTGTTTTAAGTTTCAGGTGTGGCTAAAACCATGCTAGTTTACAGGGTGTATCAAAAAAAGCGCAATCCTCGACTGAAATGTAAATTGCTAAACAAATAATAGACGAAACGTTAAAGTTTACATTCATTTTGAAGCGTAGCCATTCAGCTTTCTAACAGTGGGTTGTTTCTTAAATTTGACTCATTGGTTCGCGGGTAATAATACTTTACGTTATTGCGATTGGAGATTAAAAAAATTGAGATGGAATAACAAATCATTCTCATGAAAATAACTGATTTTTTCATTAAAACAAAAAATGTTGCATTTTATTAAATGGATTGTAACAATAAGTATAATTACGGCTTTTCTTCCACTATTTTTAACTCAGTTTGAAACTTCAAATGCGATATAATTTTGGCTTGGACCATCTAAGCTGACTGACATCAACTTGCTATAATTTCTGTTTACATTACATCGCAATTCGATGACACTCTGGGCTCAGACACCAGAATGTTTTGACGATTTTTAGCATTCGTTTAGGATTTTCAAACAACCTGGTCTCTTTTAAAATACTTTTAATTTGTTCTTACGTGGTTTTCCAGATGTAGTGACGACAACATTGAAGTTTAAAGAAGAAAATTCTAACATTTAAACCGACTAAACAATAACATAGTAAACTTGCATAATTAAACAGCAACTAAAAATGATAGGTTTTACTAAATCTTTTCCTGTGCAATTATTACTGGCATTGGAGACAAGGATAATAGTTTGTTTGAAAGAGAAAAGAACAGGCTTTGAAGTAAGCCTAAAAGCGTTTAACTAGAAATAGTATTTCGAAAGTTATTAAGCACAAAAGATGAATTGCGTTTATTTTGATACACCCTGTATACTTTCTAGTGAGTAGTGACCTGCACTTTTCCATGGTTACACGTTATTCCGAGGGCCGGTCCACTCTTTTTTGGGTCTCAACGCCGGATCGCTGACGGACCACGCTTTTTTATATATAGGGACCATGTTCTATCCTCCGCTTTTATGCCGAATAGAAGGTTAATTTGCGCATCACAATTGAATTTAAAGCCACTTCGCATGGAGAGCTTTCTTTCGACTTGCTTCCTCTTGCCAAGCGAAATGTGAAAATTCTGAGGATATTCTATCAGTAACTGTTAATATTATTGACAAATAGTATATTATACATACACTGGCATACCAAAAATGAATAATG